AATATATATATATATATATATATATATATATACTTGAGATCATGAGAGACCAATCTGTTTTCGTGAGATTCGTGAGACCACTTTTTTAACATTTGAAACTTCACAACAAAATGCTGTGAAGGTAACCTTCACAGTGTTTTTGCTGTGAAGGTTCAAATTTTTTTTTACCTTCACAGTGTTTATGCTGTAAAGTTTCAAGTATAAAAAGATGGTCTCACGGGTCTCACGAAAACAGACTAGTCTCACACACACACACACATACACACACACACACACACACATATATATATATATATATATATATATATATATATGGGCACGTAAAATGAACATCGTGCATTTCTAAGAAACCGTGTAAACCAATTTCGATCAATAAGAAAATTTCTTTTTTTCTAATTAAATTTAATCAATAAGAGTATTTCGGTCATTTACAATATTTTCTATTAAATATAGAAGTTATTAATAAATCTTAATTAAGGAAACGTAATAAAGGAAATTGTATAAATGGTAACATTTAAATATTTAATTATATTAAAATATTAAAAAGTTGGATTTCATATATTGTCATGAGTTATAATTAGGAAACATGTCTAGATGAAACAATTGAATTATAGAGTGAAATCATCAAAACGTAGATGAACAAAAAAAAAATCCACAAAATGAAACAGGTTTCATGAACGTGAAACTGGTTCATGTTGCAAAGAAATTAGGTGAACCGAAACATTTTTATGTTGAACCTGTTATATTGATGGTGTAGTTAATCCTTTTTTTATGAGAAACAAAATGAAACCGGTGCATTTTGAAAAAAATTATGAAAAGGAAAATGAAACAGGTTTCATGAACGTAAAACCAGTTCATGTTGCAAATAAATTAGGTGAACCAAAACATTTTTATGGTGAAACCCTTGCATTGATGGTATAGTTGATCCATTTTGTTGATGAAAAGGAAAATGAAACCGGTGCATTTTGAAAATAAATTATGAAAAGGAAAATGAAACAGGTTTCATGAACGTGAAACCGGGTCTTGTTGCAAATAAATTATGTGAACCGAAACATTTTCATGGTGAACCCGTTGCATTGATGGTGTAGTTGAGCCATTTTGTATTTCGCTCGTCATGAACGACGTGCATGATGAAACGGGGAAATAATTTTAATCTGTTACATAATCTTGAAGATTGTAACCTGCTCCATAATCTTCAAGATTGTAAGGACTAAAGGAATGATTCCATCAAATCGATGGTGAAATAAGAAAATTACTGTACATGAAATAGTTTTCATGAAAGTGAAACTGGTTCATGGCAGTATTAAGCCTGATAAGTGAAATGGTTGCATAAGTGAAACAATTTCATGTTGTATTATAAACTTTTATGAAGTCAGTAATCGATGAAAAAATTTCGTTATCTAAGTGTAACGGATCCATCTACCAGTATAATAAAAATTACGAAATATGATCAGTATTACGTGGATTAGTCTGTTGATTAAATTTTGAAACCAATTTCGTTCATATAATGTAATTCAAATTTAAAACGATTCACTCCATATAATTGAATATGATGTGTTATATTCATTTTTTATATGTTTTATTGATGGATGTGATTTAAAGTTAAAAATAATATATTTCTTTAAAAAATGAAAAATAGTGTCATTAATATCAAGAAGGATATTACCAAATGTTAAATTTTGTTTAACTTTTTGCCCTTACTGTTGAAATAAAATAAATTTTTAATATAGATATTTTTTTAATTTTCTAAAATAAAGTAAACTAATCTTGACCATTGATCAAGAAAATGGATAGATAAGATTAGTTTACACGGTTTAAACAAATGAGACATGTTTTTATTTGAACGCTCCTATATATAGATCTCGTCGTTAAAAAACGTTAATAATATCTATAATATATATAGAGATTTATCATTGATTAGTAGGAGGCGAACTTTATGTTAAATAAGAGAACAACAGAAGTATACACTTTAATTAGGTCCGGTACTGGGCAGGCGTTAGCCCCAATACATGGTCTTATGACTTTGCGGAGACCTGTGTTTTTGGTAAACAGTCGCCCGGATGATCCCCCAAAAAATAAACAGGTATGGAAGCTATAATTGTAAACCACGATCGAATCTATGGAAGCATTGGTTTATACATTCCTCTTAGTCTCGACTCTAGGGATAATTTTTTTCGCTATCTTTTTTAGAGAACCGCCGAAAATTTCAACTAAAAATAAAAAAATGAAATGATTTTTCATTATCGCAATTGAAGTAATGAGCCTCCCAATATTGGGAGGCTCATTACTTCAATTAGTCCCCATGTTCCTCGAATGGATCTCTTAGTTGTTGATATATATATATATATATATACACACACACACACACTAGAAGCGTACTCGTGCAATGCAGCGAAATACATCGTGATTTTAATATTTCATTTTATTTGTTGTCTCAGTCGATGTTATAATATGACTTTATGTGATTTTGAGAAAACGATAATGTTTTTATTTTTGAATAAAATATATGTTTGAAGATATCATAAAAATTTAACAAAAATATATCGATATTAGTATCAATTTAACTATTTGAAAATCCTCATTTTTTGTGTAATTTTTTAATTCAATTTTTTTATAATTTAATTTATGTACAATAATGAATTAATTTATATTTGGTTTAATAATATAATTTTTTTATAAAGATAATA